GGGCCGGGGGCCGGGCCGGGGACCGGCAGTGCTGGGCGGGCCGGGGGTGCTCGGTCGGGGGCTCGGGGGCCGGGCCGGGGGTGCTCAGCCAGGGGCTGAGCCCGAGCCGACCCAGCCTGGAGACGCCGGGGGGGCCAGACTGTGCCGCGCCTCCTCCCCCCACACCCCACTTACCTGCTTCAGGCTTCCCGCGAATCAAATGTTCGCGGGAAGCAGGGGAGGGGGCGGAATTGGGGCGGGGACTTTGGGGAAGGGGCGGAGTTGGGGCGTGGGCGGGGCTGGGAGCGGGGCCGGGGCCCCGTGGAGTGTCCTCCTTTTGGAGGCTCAAAATATGGTAACCCTATGTGGTACTTCAAAACTGGCTACTTCGTGTAGAATTTTCCATATTAACAAGGCTATCCTGGATGCTCTATCCAAGTGAAAAAGAGCCTTATACAAAGAAATTATCCTTTTCTTCAGAATTCCTCTCGGTGCTCCAGAATGGGCTGTTGTAACTGTCTGCTAGCCACTCAAGTAAATTAGACATACTGAACAAAAGGACATCACACGCCACTTGATACATGAATAATGATGAACAACTCAATTTACTAGTGCTCCATAGTAATTCTGCCTGAGGTTGAGTTTAGTGTTGCGGCCTGGTACATTTATTACAATATTGCTGCACCTCGGTCTGGGCGAGTGCGTTCCCACATTATTATGCACTTTGTCATAGCACATTTATTCATTTTTTTTCTCTGAACGCCACACAGACTGCAGCTCATTAAAAGTGGCCACAAAGGCCCAGATCCTCAAAGGTATTTAGGCATCTAACTCCTATTGAAATCAAAGGGATATAGGCAACTACAAATTTTTGAGGATTTGGACTTTAGTTTTTATTTCATTTCTGAACCCAGTGGAGAAAGAGCTTGATGTTCTTGCTAGCTGGAGATTGAGGACGATAAACGTAACATCTGAAAAACTCTGAGGCCTGGAATCACATAGGTATTGATGAATTACCACTGAAAGACAGAACAGATGGCCAACTGGATAAGACAAGAGTTGGCTTCGCACCAGCCAGTCTTACACAAATGGATGGTGCTGAAAATAATTACTGCATCAAGTAGCCTTGAATTTAATTTACTCTATTTTTAAGCAGTAAAAAGAATCATTTGTATTGCTGAAAATATATATATAATTTACTGACCTGGGACCTGCCAATAACAAGTTAATGTAAGAGTTTATTCTGGTGTCCCTCTGTTTTGTTACCTTATCCTGACTGCAAATGTGTTTGAGTAATTTGAGAAGGATACAGGGTGTAAAGTTACTTTTTTAGGCATGGTACACAGTAAGCATTTCTAACTAGCAGTGCTAAGTTTGGAGGAGGGAATTGCCGTTTTTATTCATTGTATGGTCTTTTTTGGAGTGTCCTTCATTTTCTGCCTTATAGCCCTTTCTGTTTGTGTCATTTTGGTATTCCCTCACTTTTTATCTCCTGTCCTGCAGCTTAATTTTTTCTTCCTTGGCTTTCTGTGAGTTGTTCCAAAACACCAGGTCTGGGCTTCACATGATGGCTAAGATTGGATTTTGCACCACAATACAGTGTATTGTGTATTAGAGGGTGGACACCCATTGATTCCTCCATTTCCATGTTGTTTTCTTTAGTTGGTTCGTTGCTTTGGGTTTTTTTAATTCCAGCAAGATCTCATGATTTTTACAACAGTTTACGTAAATTTTAGAGTGGAGGAAAGGTGCTGTGGTGAAAGGTTGTTAGAGTCAAAATCTTTTGTTCAACCATTACACAGCGAGTTACTATATGGACAGTGATAGTAATCAATTCCCTGCACCC